ATTCAGCCGCCCGTCTCCGTTGCTGTCGCACGCCTTGAAGATCTGCTGAAGCTTGTCCCTCACCGGATCGTCCAAGGACATGTCCATGTCGGTCACTGACGACCGACTGCTGTGACCAAAGTTGAAGGAGGAAGATTTTGTTGCATAGGGGCGCCTCGGAGCTTGCGCTACGGTTGCTGGCTTCTTCCGTTTTGCGAGCTCCTTCAGCTTCTTGACGACGTGGACAAACGTGTCGTCATCCCACAGCGCAAACAGCTTGCTGCAGTACGGCACAAACTCGTATCGCTGTATCGTGTCGATCAGGTCACAGCTATCCATCTTGTACTCTGCCATCACCTTGAAGTCTTCCTCCATCCTCTCCTTATTGTTCTCGCCCCAGCAAGTGTAGACGGCGCAAAACTCTTCGAGCTTAATGTTGCCGTCATCATTGAAGTCGATCTCATCAAACAACCCGATAAGCATGATCTCACGCTTCCCCTCCTCCAAGACGTGACCCTTTCGGGGCACACCTCCGAAGGTCGTGGTGCCAGCTCGCGCCATGCTAAAAGCGCTCGCCGCGTCAATCTCGACCATGGGCAACTTGACCGACTTTGACCCCTCGCCGTATCGGCGCGAAGATGTCTCGGCTCCGCTTTTTCGACTCGATCTCTCTGCGGACATGCCTTTCCCCATAGCTAGGTGCCGCCCCATGCACTGAACACTGCCCCGATATCGGCTGTCCCGTCCACGGCCCGCATGCAGTGTGTTCGCGTTTCGCCGTTTTGGGCCATTTCACTCTTTGATTCATCGACCGATCCATGGGCCGGCGTACGAGTGGCCCCCCGTCGAGCGTCTGGAGGAAGCGCATCCTGATCGGCGCAGTGGTTGCGGGGGCGCTCCTCGTTGCTTTATTGTACTCGAGGAAGCAGCAGGGCGGCTTCATGGAGTGCGGCAGCAGCGTGGCGCTCTGCGGCGTCCTGACCCTTTCATCAGGCCTCGGGCCCGGCAAATATGGCCTCGGGCCGGGACTCCACGGCCTGTGGCCAGAGAATGGGGATTACGGCTCGAGCGCATGCGTGAGGCCCGAAAGCCAATTGCCACCGACCGAGGCGCTCCATTGCTGCAACGCAGCCGCGCCCATCGCGCCCCTCTGACTCTGCAATGCTGGCGCGTCAGGTGTACACCTGCTACGAGAAGCCGGGCGAGACGGAGGCGGAGATCCTCGACTTTCAGGAGCACGAGTTCACCAAGCATGGCGCGTGCGCTGGCGTTGACTCTGCTGACGACTACTTCACGCAGGCACGTTTACTCCCACGGATGAATCTGATGTGCAGCCATCTGCTTCGCCTCACGCCTTCGCATGGATCGCTGCAGGCATGCGGCTTGGCAAGCGGGCCGCTTGGTCTCATCCGCACGGCGCGCGTTGGAGGGATGACACTCATCGAGGTGGCGGCGCAGACAGATCGCCCTATTCGTTGCCCATCACTGACGACCCTCACCCTCACCAGCACATCCCAGCACGACCCCACACCATCCGCTGACCCCGTTGGTCACGCCCTCCCCGCAGCCCGTCCTCCTCGCCGCCGGATACCCGGTGTGGGAGGTGGACAGCGAGCACGCGGAGGTGCAACTGTCCGCTTGCGCGAAGCCGAGCGGCGAGTGGGTGCTCGCCCGCCAACGGGACTTTGAGAAGACTTGCGGCGCGCCCAGCCTCGAGGAGCAGGAGGCGGAGCTGGTCGGCGAGGAGATGGACCTCATCCACCTCCTCGAGAGCCGCACTTGCGTCCCCGGCGAAAGAGGCCCGCCCTGTTCTGCCGACGCCGACTGCGGCAGCAAGCCCAACTGTGTGCGCTGCGCAAGATCCGGCTTCTGCACCGATCAAGTTTTGTGAACGTTTGTGAGGTACCTTCGGCGTAGTACGTAGATGCATATCCCGATGGCGGGACCGACCCGTGTGATGAATGAAAAATGCCGCCAGGCTGCCGCCCGCACACACACAACACCAACACAGCGGAAATAAGCAACCCTGTCTGCAGTTCGCCGGCTCCTGGGGGTGTATGTTCGTAAGAGCCAGCACACAGACTCACACAAACAAAAGACACACGAATGGCGTTGTTGTGTGTGTTTGTGCCAGTGGTGCGCTCCGCCAGTCCCGTGCCCAGTGTTGTGCGCGAGGGAAGTTCGCTGCCTATTCTTCGCCCCCCCGTTGTACTGTGTTGTATTATACAAAAAGAAAGAAAGAAATCACCGAATTCTTTTGGCTCATAGGTGATTCTCACGTGTGAGCAATACCGACGGCGCCGACGATAGGCGCCGACGACCTGGGCCTCAAGAGGTCTCCCATTCCGGCCCACGGCTCGACATACACACACTGACCCTCCCAGGAATGGAGGAGCACGAGCGGCTGCCTGCTGAACTCGCGAGCCAGGTGGAGAGCCTCTTCGTGTCGCAGCCGGAGGCGGATGTGTCTGCGGCCGTGGAGACACTCTTCCAGGTGGAGAGGGCAATCTCCACGGATGAGCTCTCGGGAGCCATCTCTCCACAGGATGCAGCCCGGGCGCGAGGGATCATGCACGACCCGGATGCTCTGTTCGGGTACGTGCGCGCGTCCGAGTGCCGCGCTGATGCGGCCGCGATGCTCGTCCTCGCGTCTGCTCACGGCGAGGACGACGGCGCCACCCACGCCCCTGCCGGCGGCGCTCACGTCTTCGAAGGCGACGGCGACGAGTCCCCGCTGCACGCCCTGTCCGAGGTCACTGGCCTTGCGCCCGAGGAGGCGATCGTGCTGCTCGAGGCGGCAGGGGGCGACCTCTCCGCGGCCGTCAGCCTGCACATCGAGAACGGCGAGGCCGACGCGGAGCTCCGCCGCCGCCAGGTCGGCTCGGGGCAGGGTTCGGGGCCCGGCCTTGGGCCAGGAGGAGGCCGACGGTTCGCTCCGCCGCCGCCACAGGCGAGGCAGGCGGACGAGGAGCGGCAAGCGTCTGCCGCAGCAGAGGTCGCCGCCGCGCAAGCGTCGCAGGCTGCGGAGCGCGGCGAGCCGCCTCCTCCAGGCGAGGCGGCGGGCCCGAGCCCTGCCTCTGCCCGGGGAGCCTCTGCCCGGGGGGCCGCACCCGCCGCGCGAGCGAGGCGGAGGCTGCCTGCGAGGGCCCGCGCCTCGGAGGAGCCTGCGCCGCGGCACGCGGAGGCGGGCGAGGTGGAGAGGCTGAGGGCGAGGGCCGTCCTCGAGCTGGCGCCGCTGCTCTGGCAGCTCAAGGCGTCGGACGCGCCAGTCGGCAGCCGCGACCTCGCCGCCGCCGCCGCCGGCTCCTTCGTGCTCGCTGGCCGGGGCGACCCGCGCGCAAACATAGGCTTCCTTCGCGAGTACCTCGAGTTTTGGCTGGCGCGACGCTCCCCCTCTGCCCGGATCGCCCTGCCCTCCTCCCTCGCCCGTCACCACGCCCGTCACTCCGCCCCCCGCCCCCTCGCCCTCGCGCAGGTGCCGCCCGCCCCCTCTCTCGCCCCCTCCCTCCGCTCCCCGCTAGAGATCACGCCCGCGCACTTCGAGCCGTTCGCCCTCGACGGCCCGCTCCTCTCTGGCGCCGGCCACGCCCGCCCGGACGGCCCCGGCCGCGGTGCGCCCGCCGCCGCCGCAGCTCGCCGCCGAACCGCCTTGAGGAGTGCGCCCTCTCGGGTCAGGCGCCCCGCTGCTGCTGCTGCACCTCGCCCTGCTCGACCCGAGCGCGAGCTGGTACGGCCGCGAGGCGCTGCGCTGTGCAGCCATCTGGAGCACCGAGCGCACGCTGTACGAGGTGCGTGGGGAGAGAGCCCACCCTCGCCCCGTCCTTGAGTGCGGAGAAGCCCCACCCCCAACCTTCTCCTGCGCGAGGCGGCGCCTTCCGCGCCGGACGAGCTGCTCCTCGTCGTCAACTGTCGCGGCTTCGGCTGGCGCAACTTCGACCAGGCGGCCCTCGTCGAGCTCTTCTGGCTCCTCTTCAAGTGGCCACCTCCTGCCTCGCCCCTCGCCCCCTGCCCCTCTCCCTCCCCCCCCTCCCCCCCAAACCCCTCGCCCCCCTCGCGCCCCCCTCGCCCCTCGCCCCTCCCCCGCAGGACGTACCCCTCCTCCCTCGTCTCCGTCCTCCTCCTCCACGCGCCCCTCGCCTTCCACGCTGCGTGGCGCATCCTGCGCGCGCTGCTGCCGCCGCCGCTGCAGCCGCTCTTCCTCTTCGTCGGCGCGGGAAGCGGCCCGCGAGGCGCGCGCACAAAGCTACGTCGTAGAGCCTTGCACGGCGCTGCAGACTTGAACCGCCTCCGCTGCCAAACCACACACCGTCCTCTCTCCCTTCGCCCAGGGATCGAGACGTGGGTGGCGCCGGAGCTGCTGCCGTCGATCGAGGTTGCGACGCCGCTCCGCACCTCGCCCCTCTCCTCCTCGCTCGAACGCTACCGCGGGGTGCGCGCCGCGCGCCTCCCGCGTGCCTCCCCACACCCGCACAAGTGACTCCCCACACCCGCACAAGTCGTCATGCCCGCCCACCGCCCGCCCGCACACACGCCGCCGATAGAGATGGTCCCACTGCGTACGTCTCGCGCCCACGCCCACACACACACGCCCACACACACACCTCCACCCACCCACCCCCACACACTTCGACCTGCTCGACAACCCGCAGGTGAGCGTCGCCGAGCTGCGGAGGGCGCGGGGATGCTCGAGCGACGATTTGCCGTCCCCGCCCTCCTCGCCGCCCACTGCGCCGCCGCCCGCCTCGCCGCCCGATTTCATGGAGGCGCTCGCCGCCGCCGCCGCCCGGATGGATGGCGGCGGGGCCCTCGCGGCAGACGGCTGCTCCGCGGCGGCTGAGATCCGCGCCTCCGCCTCTCCGCTGAACGAGCCGGCGCAGGCGACTGCGCCGCCGCCCAACCTGACGGCGCGCGGCTGCGAGCGAGAGCGAGTAGAGCGAGAGCGATCCCGTCAGTCCAGCCGAGGCGCACTCGAGGCGCCACCCCCCCCCCCCCCCGCGGCTAGGCGCGCTACGCGGAGAAGCTCATCGGCCGAGCAGGGCGCGCGAGGGGCGAGGGGCGGGCGGCGAGGGGCGACGCCTCGTCGAGCGTGCGGCAGGCGCCCGCCACGCCGGGCGGAGGCGGCGCGGGAGCGGGTGGGAGGGAGGGCGGCGGCGCGGAGGGGAAGGCGGAGGCGCTGGAGGCGGAGTATGTCTCGTGCGGTGACCCGGCGGTCCTGCTGCCGCTCGCTGCGGCTCACGTGTCGCTGGGGCACAAGACGGTGGGGGAGGAGCTCTACCGGAGGCTGCTCTGCGACGAGCGGTGCCCCTCCCCCCTTCCCCCGCTTCCGCCTCTCCCACCCCTCTCCCCGCCCTGACTTGCCTCCGACCTTGACCCCTCCCCGCCCCTTTCCTCGGAAGCCCGAAGCAGCCTCAGCCATGAGCTTGACATGGCAGCGCCAGCCGCTTGGACCCAGCCCCCAGCACGAGCAAGGCCTCGGACCCCCCCCCCCCCCCCCTGCTCCCCAGGTGCGCTCCCGCCTCTGAGCTCAAGGCGCTCGAGCTGCGCGAGGCGGCGCGGAGAGGTCTCGAGGGTCTTGGGCGTGTCTCCAAGTCCGCGCCGCTCTCGCCGGCCTCGTCGCCAGCGCCGTGCCGCTTGCCGTCGCGACCGCCGTAGGCTGGGGTGGTGCCCGGGCTGCGCCAATTTGTCCGACGACGTCTGTCCCTGCAGTATGGGGAGGCGGGCGGTTGGAGATTGCTGATGGAGTGAATGTATGCGATGCGTCTTTTGTCGTTGAGACAAGAGAGATGCTCTGCTCTGTGCGCGTGTGATCCCCGTGTCCGTGTGTGCATGTATCTCGGTGCACGACCGGCTTTCTCCTCATCCACGCGGCGGCACACACGTTTGCACAATATATTTCTCGAAAGACGAGTGGTTAGAACAGGAATAACGTCCAACGTGAACGAAAACACATGTCAAATGTCATCCGTAAATCCCATCTCGTCTCAGAGTTTGACTGTTTTATTCACATTTATTTAATAAAAACGATCACCGCATGATCACACAGAGCTTTCTCCCGAACGGCCGAAGAGATTCCAACCCCCGCTCGCAGTGTATGGCTCTACACAATCACATCTCTCCCCAATCTAATCACAGCTGCGCCTACTTCCCCCTCTTAAAACGACTACCGACTCTTCACGCGTGTGCCGGAACGAAGCGTTGTAGATGGAGATGTGGTCGTCCTGCCTGGGCCCAGGGGTGGTTGACCCGCCCCCGGGGCCTCATCACTCGTGGCCACGCAAATCGATCACGGGCAATCCGCCTGGCCCCGACGGCGCCTTTCGAACCGTGTACGAGAACTGCATCCACTTGTAGCCCCCGTCGCCAGCCGACGGGTGCGACGGCCGGAGTAGCTTCCCATACTCCTTTGGCTTGGCCTTTGCATAGTTGCGCAAATCCTCGAAGGATAGGTGGACAAAGGAGAAGGGCCCGCCGCTCTCCTTGGCGCGCCCCTTGGGAGGCGCGTAGCCCGTCACAGCGCTCAGCCACGAGCGGGCCTCGCCATAGAGCAGCAGCATCTCGCCCGGCCGTAGGGGTACCTCCAGGGCCTGCTCGTCCTTGCGACGAGTGTACTTGAAGCCCTCCGTGACGCTCGCAGCGTCGCCGAGGAGCACCAGCAGCTTGAGCCCGCCGTCGCCACCGTTGGCCCGCAGCTTGTCCGCGCTCCAGCCGCAGAGCGAGCTCGCTGGTCTGATTTGACGACCTCCCATGGTCTCGAAAGCGACTCGCACGCAGCAGGGCATGAATTCCTCCAGCTTCGCTTGCGCTGCCGCCGGGAGCGCCGGAGCGGCAGCTCGTATCGTGGCGAGAACGGCGGCGGCGGCACCAGACTCGTGCATGCTATCGTATGGGACCATGTGCCTGGCGAGGGAGCGGGGGGTGGTGTAGTTGGGAGGGGCGGTGGGGTACGAACTAGCAGATTCGAAATGCGCCTGCCATGCAAGCCGAGGCCCGACCAGTCGACCTCCGTCATACCTGCCGGCTGAAACGGAACGCCATTCGCCCCACGAACCCGCTCGCCTTCGCAGAGCCCACCGCACACGCCCTGCGCGCCCGCCTGAAAGGACTCGCGCAGGAGCGCTCCTCGAGCGGGATGCCGTCGACCCTGTTCGCGCCGTCCACCGCTCCGCGGCCGTCGAAAGAGTTCGTTTCGCCGCAATGAAGCCCCCCCCGTTGTAGTTAGGTTTCTACGAGGTGATCGCCTTGGATGAGCAATGCATACGCCTAGTTGGACCTCAGATCGCCCGACCGACCGTCCGTCCGTGTTCCTTCCTGCAGCTGCGCCGGGAGGGTTCCGAGCCGGACGCATCCCTCGTCGATCTCGCTAACCTCCATCCTCAGCGGCAGAACTGGCGCGAGGGAGGCGGGGACGGGCCGCGGCGAGGCAAGCACCATTACCTCTCCGTCAGGAGGCTCTCCGTAGGGAAGGGCCGAGTTCGCATCCATGTCGGGTGATGGCACTGTGATCGGCGGTGGCGTCGAATCCATGTCGGGTGATGGCACTGTGATCGGCGGTGGCGTCGAATCCATGTCGGGTGATGGCACTGTGATCGGCGGTGGCTCCATGTCGGGTGATGGCACTGTGATGGGCGGTGCGTCCACGGTGTCGGGCGTCTCCTCTTGCTGCATCTCCTCTCGAAGGGGCTGGACGCTGGCTGGCAACATTACCTCGTCGCGTAGGCCTTTCACCGCCTGGCGGAGCAACCCGTCAAAGTCACCCTCGCCGATTCTGACGAGCTCCTCCTGTAGCTGAATCACTGCGCTCGCGTATGCTGCCCTCGCCTTCTTCATTGCCGCCTGGGACTCCACCCAGGCGGCGGATGCGGATCGCACGCTGTCTGCCAGCTTCGTTGCTTGCTCGTAGTCTCGCGCGCCATTCACCTTCGGGGGCCGCTTCAGGTGCTCCTGGGCCAACTTCAATGCACAGGCACCAATCTCCTCCCCACCCGAAGGTGTGGCTGCGTCACACGCCGCAAGCGCCTCGGAGAGAAGGCCGTCAAAATCGGCCTCTCCGGCAGCCGCGAGCTCCATCTGGAGGTTAAGTATGGCCTTGAGCCAGTTCTTCCCCTCCCCTCGCAGCTCGCGCTTGGCATCCCTTGCCGCCTTGCGCAGGCTCTGGCGCTTGGCCCCAACGCAACGCCGCTTGTCCACTTCCCACCCCTTGATGTATTCCGGACTTTGGAGGTGCTTCTCGAGCGACCTTGCGAGCTTTGCCTTCGCGTCGGTCTCCATGGCCACCGCTCCCATCCTGGCGGCAGTGTCACGGGTGTCGGAAGCGCGTTCTTTGAAGTCGGTGAAACTTCCGCTGTCGGGCGATCTCGTGATTAGTAAAGGCCCTTGTGTAGCTCTTACGAACATTCCCGAAGGAGGGCTGCTGACAGGGTTTGAGAGAGAGAGAGAGAGAGAGGAGAGAGAGAGAGAGAGAGAGAGAGAGAGAGAGAGAGAGAGAGAGAGAGAGAGAGAGAGAGAGAGAGAGAGAGAGATTGCCAGAACAGGTGTGTATTCTTTTGCTTGTGTATGTGTATTCTTTGCCAGCTGATGCACACTCATGCAGTACACACTTACATGGGCACACTTACACCCACTCACAAACAGGCTACGCGGCGTGTGTGGTCGTGAAGGGGGCCATCGACAACGAGAGATTCGAACTGGCCAAGCGTGTCATACTTGCCCTATTCGTCCGCACCGGCCTGGCAGGTGAACAAGTGAGTGCAAGTGCCAGTACAAGTAAGAGTGCAGGTACGGCTTGTGTGCGTGCGTGCGTGCGAGCAAGCGTGCGTGCGTGTGTGCGTGCGTGCGTGCGTGCATGCGTGCGTGCGTGTGTGTGTGCGTGTATGTGTGTGTGCGCCTGTGCGTGCGTGCGTGCGTGCGTGCGTGCGTGCGAGCGAGCGAGCGAGCGAGCGTGCGTGCGTGCGTGCGTGCGTGCGTGCGTGCGTGCGTGCGTGCGTGTGTGCGTGTGCATGTGTGCATGTGTGGTGTGTGTGCGGGCGGGTGTGCGTGCGTGTGTGCGTGTGTGCGTGCGTGCGTGCGCGCGCGCGCGCGTGTGTGCGTGCGTGCGTGCGTGCGCGCGTGCGCGCGTGCGTGTGTGTGTGTGCATGTGTGCATGCGTGGCGTGTGTGCGGGCGGGCTGCACATGCGTGGTGTGTGTGTGTTTCTCGTTTATTGCAGGGTTCTGCAAAGGTTGTGCTCCCTCCGGACGAGGGCTTGCAGACAATCAGCGCAATGTCCTTAAGGACAGGTAGATCGTGACTCCCTCCAGAAGTCACGAGCCATGAGTCACGAGTCCTGAGCCTCGAATTGAGAGTAGTAAGAACTGGCACGGGCTGCAGATGCAGCGCTTGTCTGTCGTTCTCCACACCGCCGTGGCGTGGCAGACGGTGAACGAGCTAGCGTGCGGGGACAGCGGCATTGTGCACGGAGCTAAGTGCATTGCCGTTCTTAACGGAGTCGCTTAGGCGGCTCCGGTGGTGTGCCGGTGATAGTACTAGCACGCGCCAGTTCGCACCTGTGTCGAGCCTGTGTGCTGTGAGAGAGAGTTCTTTTGTTTAAATTCTCCTTCCCTTTTTTCTCGTTCTCACACGTGCGGCGTGCCGTTGCTTCAAGGCGGCTATGCCCCCGACACTCGAAGAAGCTTCCAGGAGGCCAAATATACTCTGCTTCCTCTTTGACGACTACGATGGTGTGAACATGAGCGTGTACCCAGGGGGGCTTGCAGCGGGCTCGCAACCCAACTTGGAGAGGGTAGCACGAGAGGGCCTCGTCTTTGATCGTGCATTCACGTAGTCCAACCCACTGTGTGCACCATCGCGATACAGTTTCCTCACAGGGCGATATGGCACCTCTTGCTATAGCTCTGTCTGCCGTGGTGAAAGTGACTTCTCACCTCCAGCACATAATAGTAGCACCAAGTTTGGTGTGCCAAACCCATTACACAAGGTCCAGGCTATGCCCAACCAGTTCAATGTCCCGCTTGAACACGACCGGTCGAACATCGGTGCACTTTTGGCGGATGCGGGCTATGCCACGGGCTTTACAGGCAAGTTCCATGTTGGGCCCTTGTGGACGCAAGAGCAGCTGCTTGAGTACTCCAGCGCGAACCATAGCGACCGGTTAGGCATGAGCAATCTCTTCTGCCGGAATGAGCTGACTGCTCGGGAGATCATCCGGCGGACATACGGCTTCACCTGGGCGAAACATGTCTACGACCAGAATATGCGTCAGCCATTCGCAGAGCACAACCCGGACTGGACCCTCGCTGCGGCACACGAATTTCTTGAGGCACATCAGCAGCAGGCGTTTTATTTACACGTGTGCACTACCCTGATGCATGGGACTCCAGGAAGTTGGGCGCGGGCGCTGGACTTTCCAGCCGTCTCGGGGGAGGGGCTTCTTGGTGAAAGCACGCTGCCGCGAAGATATAATGTGACACCTTTAGGCACTTACGGACCGATCTATAGCTTGCTTTAGTTTACCGAACTTGTTTGTGGGTCGGTCCCGATTGTGCGTTGATTGTGGATTGAGTGTTACGGATCCCAAGACACATTTTATTAAGGTTTTCTGTGGTAGCACCTCCATCGGTCCGTGGCCCGAACGAAAGCTAGTTCCACTGCGCAAGATATGCTCAAAACCAACGACACAGCACACAAAGAGTCAGCGAAGACGGTTGTTGTGGGGCGGCCAGCATGCCGGTAGGTAGGGTAGGTCTGGGCCCTCCCGTCGGGTTTTTCCCTCTCTTCACGCCGGAAGTTTCACAGGAAAAAAAGAAAAAATTCCGCCGAAATCACGATGTCAACCCTCCCCAAGTGGGTGATCTGGTGCTTGTAGGGCTTGAGAGTGGCCTGTCATGTCTCAGGAAGGACTGTGGTTGCAGGAGAGTACCACCAACCATCACTTTAGTTGGTATAGTACCCCACCTTCACCCGTCCCATGATTTCTTTTTTAGTTTCCCATAAGTAGGGTTGGTAGGTAGGTAGGTAGGTAGGGGCACCGCAGGGGCCGGTCGGGTTTTTGCAGAATTTCAGCATGCTGGCCGCCCAAGCAAAAAGAATACACACCCGCCAGAACGGCGTAAGCGAGAGAAAGGACGCACGTCGAATGCCGCATGCATGGCTCCGGGTCAACACGACGTTGAACCACGCAGATCTCGCCCGCCTAGTGCCGGGTATACAGCCAGCCACCGACGAGGAGTGGTTGCAACGGCACCACACGGTTTTGCAGCTCAAGAAGACGGTTGCCAGTCATCATGCGCCGCTCTCGGCCAATCAGCAGAGGAGCACAGAGCAGTGGATACGGACCCTCGATCCTAGTCACGCGACGCTGGTGCAGATCGGAGCCAACCTGCACCAGAGCACGAGCTACGCCAACAGTGACCCAGGGCCGCAGTGCGTGGCGCTCGGATGGCGTGCCCTCCTGCTTGAGCCCGCGCCGCCCATCTTTGCGAGGCTGCGCGCCAAGTATTCGAATCGCACGCGTTACCGGCGCGTGCGGACGGTGAACGCCGCGGTGTGCGACCAGTGTGGGTCGGAGCCGGTGCCGTTCTGGCACGTGGACACGTCAAACGCGACAGGGAACTGGGGCTCTTTGCACGCTGATGCTAGGTGCCTCCCCCTGCACGACAGGGCCATCGGCAGGCGTGTGAGCAGGAGCGTGACCAACGGCGAGCACGTCCGCCTCGAGGCGATCGACACCTTCATCTCCGAGATCTCATCGCTCAGCGCATCGCACCTCGTCCAGTTCCAACGGCTCTACACGACGCAACGCGGCCCGTGCGCCCTGTGCGGCCAGCTACTGGCGGGCCGTGCCTACGACGCCTCTTGCAGCTCGCGCGTCATCCGCGACAACATGCGCTCGACTACCGTGCGCTGCTACTGCATGCGACAGGAGCTACCGTGGGAGCACGTCTCACTCTTGACCATTGGTGCGCACACACACTAGCGCCGCAGACGGGCCTGCGTCGCATATACTGACGCACGAGGGCCCCGCGCAGATGCGGAGGGTCACGACTACAGTGTGCTGTCTCAGTACCCGTTTGCCTCCAGTCCGGTCCAGCGGGTCGTCTTCGAGGCGACGCACATGCGCAACGTCGACTTCGATCGCGCTGCCGCGCTGCTCGATTCGCATGGCTTCGTCTTTCTGAAGGGCGGCTACAAGGCCGGTGACAACGTCTGGCACCACCCCGGACGTTGACTGCCAACCGGCCATGCGCGCCCGCCGGTGGGCGTCCATGCGGCGGAGCCGCCGCTAGAATTGTTTTGGGGCTGAGGCCCTGCCTCTCACTCGGAGAGCGCATCGATTTCCCCCCCAGAGGAGTGTTTTCCGTCGCGTGAGAAAAGTGTTGGTAGGGAAAGGGGGAGGAAGCTACAAAGGCTTGACTAATAGCCGCCGTCGGAGTGGAGCGTGCTCGAGGTGGCCGTCTGGCTCGAGCACCGCTCCCCGGCTCTCTCTCGCACGCCTCGATCTCACCGAGCGCGCCGCCCTGCGCGCGACTATGAGCAAGGAGAAGATGGACGCGGCGTCTCCCTCGCTCTGTGCGCGGAGTTCGAGCTCCTGCTCAAGCTGGGCGTAGCCGCAGGTGGCCGCAGTCCCTCGCACTATCATCACGGGTAAACTCCCGACCCTCCGGCTAACTAAACTGGGTTGACGGCCGGCAGATCCATTGGGCGAGGGAGCGAGCGGGCGTCGCGTGACGCGTCACACCCCTCAGCCTCTCACCGATGGCAGAGCGTATGGGCTGCGCAAAAATCGCCTTGGAGCACTTGGAGTGCAGTCATTAACCTCACATCCAGGGCCGGGGAGCTAAGAAGCGCACCCAGCGGGCCGGATGATCGGCATCGGGTTACGGGCTAGAGAGCCCTAGCCCTGGGGGGGCGCGCGTTCGCAGGGAAAGGGCCGTAAAGTAAACACGGGTCTCCGAGGGTTAGTTCCGTGTACCGGGTTTCCCCTTAACTGCAGAACGCCCCCTCTACTCGGAGCTAACGGACACACAACACTGTACTCCACGCACGTACACGGATACGCTGGAGATTGGTTTTTTTTTAAAGGCAGAGGGTGCCGTGTTTGTGCTCTGCATCCCGCATCGCGATGGGAGCCTGCGGCAGCAAACAAAAGCTGGCGCACAATCGAGCCACCGCCGCCAACCAGATATTGGACGCACAGTACGAAGCCCACATCCAGGATCTGGAGACCCGGCTCGAGGAAGCGGAGCGAGCGGCGCGGCAAGCGCAGGACGAGGTAGCAGAATATAAAGTCCAGGCACAGTTGGCCAGTAGCGCGGCGCTATCGGCGCAGGTCGCCGCGCTCGAGGTGCGGCTCAAGGAGTATGAGGCGCCGAGCACGCCCCTTGCCGTCTCCCCTCCTTTCCGGAGCCTTGTCCCGTCGGCCGATCCGTTCGGTCCCCTGGATGGTGGCTCGCCGTCGGCCGATGCAGCGGCCGACGATCGGAAGCGGCGGGCGGCGCTCGCGACACGCGTGCAGGCGTGCTACCGGGGCCACTACGCGCGGGCAAAGCTCGAGGCGGCGCAGCTCGAGGAGCGACAGGCGTCGCTCTCGCGGCAGAAGGCGGAGGCGCGGCTGCGCGGGCTGCATGCCAAGCAGGCGCTGTCCCCCCGCGGCGAGGGCGAGGGCGAGGGCGGCGAGGCAGGCGCGGAGGCGGCGGAGGCGGCGGTGGCGGAGGCGGCGGTGGCGGTGGCGAGGCTGCAGCGGGAGGAGGCGGAGGCGGCGGTGAGAGTGCAGGCGAGGGGAGCTCCTCCCTCGGGAGTACCTGGACCTTGGACCTTGGACCCCCCCCCCCCCCCCCTTTTCCAATGGCCCTTCCTTTTAAAACACCCCATTCCTTCCCGGGTTAACCCCTCCCCCAAAGGTTCCTTAAACTTCCCCCCCCCCCCCCCCACCACACCCACCCCCCCACCCCCACCCACCCCCCCACCCACGCAGGCCGTCTACCGAGGCCACCTCGCTCGCGCAGATGCAGAGGCGACTCGCATCCAGCTTGCAGAGGCGGCGATGGCGCGCGCACGCGGGTGCAAGACATCGCAGCCGCCTCCGTGCCCGCCCGTGGCGCGCATCCAGGCGCAGAGATCCGCCGAGATCCGCCGAGATCCGCCGAGATCCGCCGCCGAGATCCGCACCACCCTGCCCTCTCGCCCCGTGCCGCGCCCCCCCCAGGCGCAGCACCGCGGGAGCGCTGCTCGTGCGGAGTTCAACTACCTCAAGACGGGCGCCGGCGAGACCGAGCGCAAGGCGCTGTGCATCTGCTGCTCGTACCCCGGCACCCACCTGGCGCTGCCGGGCTGTGTGAGAGACCAGGCTGCGATGGTCGACCTGCTACCAAAGCAAGGCTACGACGTCACCTTCCTCACCGACGGCGACAGCCACCACGAA